TCTGACTGCTGAGACTAAGTTGGATGCCAGTGCTCTTTGTGCAGCTTTTCATACAGGTCTTGCAGATGGCATCAACAATGAACACTGGAGCTGTGTGTCTGTCTGGATGTCCGGTATCATGAAAGGTGTCAGGAGAGTTTATGGACACATAAGCTACCTCAGTCAGTTTTTTGTCTAGCCACTAACTTCCAAAAAATCACCGGAGCCTAAACTTGAATCTCTAGTTGATTCCGTGACACTTGCAGAACCCATGGAAATCAACCGTTTCCACTTGACAGAAGCAGAGAGACAAAGGAGATGCTCATTGGGCCTATGTCTGTATTATGGACTGAAAGGACATTTTTTATCCGTTTACCTTCCTGTCCTGTAAAAAGGAAGGTTCTAACTCATGTTGGAGGAACTGTGTTAGTCCTTCCTCCAAAACATAGATCATTGTAGCTGCAATTTTTCAGTTAGCCTCAAACTCTGTGAGCCTTTGAGGCTTTTGTAGATTCTGGAGCAGCTGGTATATTCTTAGATCACATCTTTGCTAAGAAAAACAGTACTCCTTTGTGTCTAAACCAAGACCCTTGAGCATCATTGCTGTGGATGGCCAACCATTAGGAAAAGGCACAGTGGTATTCAAGACCATCACAATCTTCATGTTGGAGCACTCCACAAGGGGGGAAATTATCCTACCTCTGATTGACTCTCCATTTCTGCCTGTTATCCTTGGGTATCCATGGTTGCAACAGCACAACCCTTCTTTTGGCTAGGTTAATGGAGAATTAACCTCCTGGGGGTCGTATTGTCAGCAGAACTGTTTAGATCATCCCAAAAGACTATCTCACAGTCGATTGGCTGCTGTGACAATACCTCCTACCTTGCTTTAAGAATACTACAACTTTGCATATGTATTTCGCAAGAAAAAAGCAGAGGTTCTACCCCAACATCATTCTTTTGACTGTGCAATTAACCTGATCCCTGGAGCACCTCTTTCAAAGGGAAAGACATATCCATTGTCACAACCTGAACAAAAGTCCATGGAGGAGTACATTCAGGACAACTTGGAGAGAGGTTTTATCCCTCCCTCTTTTTCTCCAGTATGGGCAGGTTTTTTTTTGTTGAAAAAAAGATTGGGGTCCCCATCCATGTACACAATATCAAGGTTTAAACCAAATTACTGTAAATGAGCTATTTGATGTTCTTAACCACTTGCCTTCCGGCCGCTGTATATAAATGGCCAGACGGTGGCAGTCCAGGGGTGGGTTGCCGTTCATAAATGGCGCCTGCCATTTTGGACTGTGCGCTTTCCCAGTGATCACATGCAGAGTAGTAAGCAAGGTGTCACTTCTGACATTATTGCTTACTACATGTAAAATCTGTGAATTATCACAGAGGTCACATGGTACAAGGCTATTCACAACAGCCTTGTACCATGTGACAAGCTGTGACCAATCACAGCTCACACAGTAGTTCTCAATGGCTGCAAGAATGCAGCCAGAGAGGAGGATAAATGATTGCTTTTGATTGCTTTTATAGCCTTTATGGGTGTAAAAGCAATCAGTGTAGAAAAAAAAAAAAATCTTCATCACCCCCCACAAGCAGTACAGTGGCACCATGGTAACAATGCACTGCTAGGGTGACAGTATGTAGAAAGAAAAAACAAAACATAAATAATAATATAAAAAAATAAAGTAAAAATGTAAAAAAAAAACAATTTTTTTAATTATAATTTTTGTTATAAACTAATTTTGGGTTATTTTTTTTACTAAAAAGGTAACTGAATAAATTTTGGCCAAGATTTATGATGAAATATTATTTATTTGCAAACTTGTATAAGAAAAACACTTTTTTTTTTCAAAATTTTTGGACATTTTCATTTATATAGCAAAAAAAATTTAAATCCCAGTGGTAAATAAATACCACCAAAATAAAGCTTTATCTGTCTAAAAAAAATGCTAAAAAATTCATATGGGTACAGTGTTGCATGACCGCACAATTTTCATTCAAACTGTGATTGCGCTGAAAGCTGAAAATTGGCCTGGGCAGGAAGGGGGTAAAAGTGTCCGGACTTGAAGTGGTTAAAGGAGTCATTATTTTCACTAAGCTGGACCTGCGAGGAGCCTATATCCTGATTCATATAAGAGAAGGTGATGAATGGAATACAGCATTCAATAATTGCAATGGACACTATGAGTATCTAGTTGTGCAATTTGGACTCTGTAACACTCCCGCCTTCTTCCAGCATTTCATGGATTAGGAATTTCACAACTTCAGAAGCAAGTTTGTGATAATCTACCTGGATGACTTCTTAATCCTTTCTAATACTCACCTGGAAAACATCTTACATGTGAAACAAGTACTACGGTGGCTACAGGAATATCATCTCTATGCCAGCATTGAAAAATGTAGCTCTCATCAGAGTTGCATATCTTTTCTGGATTACATTATAAATAGAGATGAGCGAATCGAACTTGGCGAAGTGGAATTCGTTTCGAATATTAGGAAAAATTCGATTCGCGCCGAATCCGAAAATTAGCAAACTTCGGATGCACGAATCGAATTTTCCCCCCGATCGGCCGATTTTCATCCCTTCTACAGCCGGCAAAAAGTGTCCCTGCAGAGAGCTCCGCTATTTCTGACAGTTCTCTGACAGTTCCTTCACATTTACAGCAGTTGAAACATTGTATCTATTTGTTTCCATTTAGGATACAGATGTTTTTATTCGGAAACAAATAGATACAATGTTTCAACCGCTGTAAATGTGAAGGAACTGTCAGAGAACTGTCAGAAATAGCGGAGCTCTCTGCAGATACACTTTTTACTGGACTGGAATTCTTCTTATTTTCATCCTACTTCTTCTTCTCTTCTTCTTCTTCTTCATCCTCATCCTCATCCTCTTCTTCTTCTTCTTCTTCTTCTTCATCCTCATCCTCTTCTTCTTCTTCTTCTTCATCCTCATCCTCTTCCTCTTCTTCTTCTTCTTCATCCTCATCCTCTTCTTCATCCTCATTCTCTTCTTCATCATCATCATCCTCATCTTCTCATCCTCTTCTTCTTCTTCATCCTCATCCTCTCTTCTTCTTCATCTCTTCATCTTCATCCTCATCCTCCTCTTCTTCTTCTTCTTCTTCTTCTTCTTCTTCTTCTTCTTCTTCTTCTTCTTCTTCTTCTTCCTCACCATCATCCTCTCTTCTTTCTTCATCCTCATCCTCTTCTTCATCCTCATCCTCTTCTTCTTCTTCATCCTCATCCTCTTCTTCTTCTTCTTCTTCATCCTCATCCTCTTCTTCTTCTTCTTCTTCATCCTCATCCTCTTCTTCTTCATCATCCTCTTCTTCTTCTTCTTCGTCCTCATCCTCCTTCTTCTTCTTCTTCTTCATCCTCATCCTCTTCTTCTTCTTCCTTATCCTCATCCTCTTCTTCTTTCTCTTCTTCTTCTTCTTCCTCATCCTCTTCTTCTTCTTCTTCTTCATCCTCTTCTTCTTCTTCTTCTTCTTCTTCTTCATCCTCATCTTCTTCTTCTTCTTCTTCTTCTTCATCATCATCATCCTCACCTTCTTCTTCTTCTTCTTCATCATCCTCATCCTCACCATCATCCTCTTCTTCTTCTTCATCCTCATCCTCATCCTCTTCTTCTTCTTCTTCTTCCTCATCCTCATCCTCTTCTTCTTCTTCTTCTTCTTCCTCATCCTCATCTTCTTCTTCTTCATCCTCATCCTCTTCTTCTTCTTCTTCTTCATCCTCTTCTTCTTCTTCATCCTCATCCTCTTCTTCTTCTTCTTCTTCATCCTCATCCTCTTCTTCTTTCTTCTTCTTCTTCTTCTTCTTCTTCTTCTTCATCCTCATCCCCTTCTTCTTCATCCTCATCCTCTTCTTCTTCATCCTCATCCTCTTCTTCTTCATCCTCATCCTCTTCTTCATCCTCATCCTCTTCTTCTTCTTCATCCTCATCCTCTTCTCTTCTTCTTCTTCTTCTTCTTCTTCATCATCATCATCCTCATCCTCTTCTTCTTCTTCTTCTTCTTCTTCTTCTTCTTCTTCTTCCTCACCATCATCCTCTTTCTTCTTCTTCATCCTCATCCTCTTCTTCATCCTCATCCTCTTCTTCTTCTTCTTCTTCCTCATCCTCATCCTCTTCTTCTTCATCCTCATCCTCCTCTTCTTCTTCTTCTCATCATCCTCATCCTCTTCTTCTTCTTCTTCTTCATCCTCTTCTTCTTCTTCTTCTTCTTCTTCTTCCTCTTCCTCATCCTCTTCTTCCTCTTCTTCTTCTTCATCCTCTTCTTCATCCTCTTCCTCTTTTTGTCTTCCTCTTGCAGGTCACTGCTCATGCGCAGATTTTTTATCGGCAAAAAATCGTCCGATTTGCCCACTATTGCTGCGAAAATCAGCCGATCGGCAAAATCGGCCGATTTTGTTTCCAACTTTACAGGAAACAAAAACGGCCAAAATACCGAAAAACGGCCAACCAAATAGCCCACTAACGATCCGAAAATCGGCCGATTTTATTTTCGGCCGAAAAATCGGCCGATTTTCGACCCATCTATGGCCTGCATTAGGGCCACAGAGACTTTAGGGCCACAGAATCGTTACTCAGGGACACAGAATCGTTACTCAGGGACACAGAATCGTTACTCAGGGACACAGAATCGTTACTTAGGGCCACAGCTATCAAAGAATCGAAATTTAAAGTGACATACACCCTTTTTTTTTTTTGGTGGCTGTCGTGCACAGTTGGTGCTGCAGTTTGCCGATTGTGCAAAATAAACTGACTTTCTGCTTCACAACCACTATTGTACGTTCAAGGAGTTAAATCCATTTACACGCCGGGGTGGCGGTAATATTTTTTGGGTGATTAGTGCATTCCAGTGACACAAACGTACAGTTTCCAGCCAACGGCAAGCTGCAATTGACCAATTGTGTACAATAAACTGACTTTCTGCTTCACAACCAATATTGGCCTTCAATTGAAGCTGCTTCCGCTCCGCCACTCTGCCATTGGACTCTTGATAGTCGTCTCCCCACGCTGCTGCTGGGGGGACTTTTTAACCTAGGCCTGTGTATGGCCTTCAATTGAAGCTGCTTCTGCTCCGCCACTCTGCCATTGGACTCTTGATAGTCGTCTCCCCACGCTGCTGCTGGGGGGACTTTTTAACCTAGGCCTGTGTATGGCCTTCAATTTAAGCTGCTTACGCTTCGCCACTCTGCCATGGGCCCCTGTACCGCGCCTCCTCATGCTGCTGCCAGGTCCAGAGTGTGTCATGGGTCCCTGTACGGCCTCCCATTGCTGCTGTCTCCATCGCCACACTCTGCCATGTGCCACTTTCAGGTCTCCTCACACTGCTGGTGGGTTCCATTTTGTCATAGGGTGCTGTATGGCCTCCCATTGCTGCTGCCTCCACCGCCACACTGTGGCTCCACACTCTGGTTTTGGCCCCATGACTGCCCAAATGAGTGAAGTGTGCGGTGATTCTAAGATCGACGGCACTCATCTGCATGTCATACTGACTGACAGTATTATTTCTCTTCCCCAGCAGACTCCAAGGGCATTTAAATTAAAGGTACAGTGTTCTGCACTAATATAAAGGCTCTCTGAAGCCTAGAAACCCTTTTAATAAGTTAAATTCGCAGCAAATAAATTTGCATCGAATCGAATTTATTCCGCAAATTCGGCGAATCAGCCGAATCGAATTTTTGAATAATTCGCTCATCTCTAATTATAAACTCTGAAGGTTTTCAAACAGACCTGTGAAAACTTGCTGCTCTCCTGCAGTGGCCACAGCTGAACACCTTGAGAGGGCTGCAAAGTTTTTTGAGATTTTCCAATTACTAAAGGCATTTCATCAAAGGGTTTGCCTCTATAGAAGCACCTCTTATGGCTATGACCAAGAAGGGGGTAAATTTTAAAGTATGCTCCTCTGACACAGTGCCAGCTTTCTGGCAACTGAAGGAAAGGTTTAGCAAGGATCCAATTCTTCAATATCAAAATCTAGACCTCCAGTATATTCTTAAAGTTGAGGCATCTGAAGTAGGGGCTGGTGCAATGCTGTTTTAAAATCAGGTAGAGTTCACTCAGTAGCATTTTTCTCAAATAAATTTTCTCCTGCTGAAGTCAACTATGATGTCTGGAATAGAAAGCTATTGCCTATTAAACTTGCGCTGTCTGAATGGAAGCATCTCCTGAAGGGAACTCAAAAGCCTTTTACCATACTGACAGACCATGAAAATAAATAAAATAAAAATCTGTTGTATCTTCAAACAGCTAAATGTTTGAATTCATGTCAAGTTTTATGGGCTTCTTTTCTTTTCATGTTTCCATTTTATCCACTCCTATGTTCCAGGACACAAGAACAATAAAGCTGATGCTCTGTCTAGACAGTTTGAAGTATCCAAAGTAGTTCAGCCCACTGAACAGTGCATAATTATACCACAAAGGATCATTGCACAAATCTCCACAACCCTTCTACAACAATTACAGGAAGCCCAGAATCGTATTCCCCCAGATCTGAAAGTGTTGCCAGGACATCTGTAGCCCCTAGCCTCAGGAAGGCTGTACTTCTTTGGGCACATGATGGAGTATTGTCTGGTCATCCTGGAATCACTATCACCCTAAAGACTTTGAAGCATCATGTTTGGTGGCCAGGTATGAAAAAAGATGTTACAAATTATGTGGCCGCCTGTCCAACATGTGCCCATAATAAAGTTCCACTCACCATACCTCGACAGTCTTGGACCAATTTGATCATGGAATCTATCACCGATCTACCCCAATTATTATTATTATTATTATACAGTATTTATAAAGCGCCAACAGTTCACTCAGCGCTGTACATTACAATGGGGGACAGAACATGCGACAGTACAGTAACAATACAATGCGATACATGAGGAGGGCCCTGCTCTTTCGAGCTTACAATCTAGGAGGGAGGGGATAGTGGTACAGGAGGAGATAGCTGTGGGGGATGGAGTGGTAGGAAGAGTGGAGGAGGTCGGCAAATAAGCAGGGGGTGGGGTAGGCTTCCCTGAAGAGGTGGGTTTTCAGGGTACGCCTAAAGGAGAGGAGAGTAGGTGATAGTCTGATGGGTTGGGGCAGGGAGTTCCAGAGGATGGGTGACACCCTGGAGAAGTCCTGGAGGCCGGCATGGGAGGAGGAGACCAGGGTACTAGAGAGAAGGAGGTCTTGTGAGGAGCGGAGTGTGCGTGTTGGGTGGTGCTTGGATATTAGGTCGGTGATGTAATTTGGGGCAGTATGGTGGACAACTTTGTACGTCAGTGTTAGTATTTTTAATTTGATCCATTGCGCAATTGGAAGCCAGTGGAGGGATTGGCAGAGGGGGGGTGGCGGAAACAGAGCAGTTGGTAAGGTCTGGCTGCCGTATTCAGGATCGACTGAAGTGGGGATAGCATGTGGCGAAGCAGGCCAGTGAGGAGGGAGTTGCAGTAGTCGAGTCGTGATATGATGAGGGAGTGGATGAGCTTTTAGTGGTTTCTGGGGTTAGGAACGTGCGGATTTTGGTGATGTTGCGGAAGTGGAGTCTGCATGAGTTTGTTAATGATTAGACTTGGGGCTGGAAGGATAGGTTGGAGTCCAGAATGACACCAAGTACTCTGGCCTGCGGGGTGGGCCTGATAGTGGCATTGTTGGACTTGATGGAGAAGTCAATGGCGGGTGGTGTGCGGGCTGGAGGGAAGACTAGGAGCTCGGTTTTGGAGAGGTTCAGTTTAAGGAAGTGGAGCGACATCCAGTCTGATATGTCGTTCAGTAGGTTTGTGATTCGGGGGAGACTGAGAGGGTGAGGCGAGGGGTTGAGAGATAGATTTGTGTGTCATCGGCATAGAGGTGGTAGTTGAAGCCATGAGAGTGTATGAGTTGGCCAAGGGAGGAGGTGTAGATGGAGAAGAGAAGGGGCCCGAGGACGGAGCCTTGAGGGACCCCAACAGAGAGGGTGCGTGAGGGGGAGGTGGTAGCATTATAAGTAACGCTGAAAGAGCGTTGTGATAGGTAGGATGAGAGCCAGGAGAGAGCAGAATCTCTGAGGCCGAGGGAGTGTTGTTTTTTGAGGAGGAGGGGGTGGTCGACTGTGTTGAAGGTCGTGGAGAGGTCAAGGAGTAGGAGCACTGGATAGTGGCCATTAGCTTTGGCGGTTAGAAGGTCGTTGGAGAGTTTGAGTAAGGCAGTTTCGGTGGAGTGTAGGGGACGGAAGCTGGACTGTAGGGGATCAAGGAGGTTGTTGTCATTGAGGTGAGAGCTTAGGTGAGTGTAGACTAAGCGCTAGAGGAGTTTGGATGTGAATGGGAGCAGGGAGATGGGTCTGAGGTTGTTCGGGTCATTGGGGTCCAGGGAGGGCTTTTTAAGTATGGGGGTGATGTGTGCATGCTTCAGAGGGGAGGGGAATGTGCCAGAAGAGAGGGAGAGATTAAAGATGTGGGGGAGGGAGCGTAGGATGGAGGGGGGGAGGGAGGTCGAAGGAGTTGTTAGGGGATAGGGTTGAGGGGACAGGTGGTGAGGCGGGCATCAGAGAAGACCTTGGAGACCTCCTCGATGGTAGTAAGGTCAAAGGTGTGGAGTGTTGAGGGGGCTTCAGTGTGAGGAATGTTGGGTGGGGTAGAGGTCAGAGCAGTGGTGGGGCCGTGGGAGAGGGGTGATGAGGGGGTAGCTGTGTGAGAGGGGACGGGGTTGGAGGGAGTTTGAGCAGTAACAAAGTCTCTGCGGATTGTGTCGAGGGAGAGGGGTGATGAGGGGGGTAGTTGTGTGAGAGGGGACGGGTTTGGAGGGAGTGTGAGCTGCGGCGATGTCCTTGCGAATTGTGGAAATCTTGATTGGCATTCTCAAGGGCGGTGAGTGAGGTGCTGTGTGGAGGTGGGGGCAGAGAGAGTAGAGAGTTAAAGGTGGAGAAGAGTCGGCGAGGATTGGAGGAGAGGGTTTTGATGAGGGTCAGGAAGTAGGCTTGCTTGGCGGCATGGAGGGAGGAGATGTAGGTGTGGAAGGCAGATTTCTAGCCGGTGAATGCTTGTTGGGATCTGGTTTTGCACAACAGTCGCTCCAGGGCACGACTGTGTCATTTGAGAGTTTTGGTATGATCAGTCTGCCAGGGCTGAAGCAGTCGGGGTCTGGTGTTTCGTGTGGTTAAAGGCGCTAGTGATTCAAGGGCTGTTGACAGCGTGTTGTTATAAGCAGTCATAGCCAGGTCAGGGCAGGACAGGGGGAGGATGCTGTCATGGAGCTGATCAGCTGCAGAGTGGAGGGGGGCAGGGTTCAGGTTGCGGAGGTTATGGCTGGTGGTAGTATGACATTTGGAGGGGTAGGCGTTAGAGGATGAGGAGATAGAAATCTGCTGGTATGACTGTAAAATGGGTCATAGTGGATCACTTTTCTAAAATGTCCCACTTTGTCCCACTTCCTGGACTACCAACAGCCAAAGCACCGTCTTTCTCTCTTTTTAACTCATATTGTAAGACATCATTGGATTCCTACCAGTATTGTGTCTGACAGGGGTTCCCAGTTCATTTCCTGATTCTGGAGACCATTATGTAAGAGGCTGGGGGTAACGGTGTCTCTCTCTACCTTACACAAGCCACAAACTGATGTACAATCCAAACGCATGAACCAGAACCTTGAGCCCTACCTTCAACACTACATCAACTTGTTACATTTCAATCGGACTGAGTATTTGCCATTGGCTGAATATGCCATCAACTCCCCTTGGCACAGAGCCCTTCATAACATGCACTTTTATGCAGCTCTAGGCTACCACCCACATACTTCCCACACTGCAACCTTTTTCCAGTGTACTATCAGCAGATCAACGAATAAAAAAAATATTGCTACAATGGAGAAAAATTAGCTTTCTTTTACAAAAGACAGCAGGCAAATATAGGAATTTTTTCTGATAGACCTTTGCATGTATGCATTAGGAGACACTTTGGTTGTCTGCTAAGTAATTGAGACTGAAGCAACCTTCTACCAAGTTGTGGCCTTGATTTATTGGTCCCTAAAGGATTGCTTCCAAGTTGGACAAGTCTCCTATTGCCTTAAATTGCCCCCTTCTCTTTAGATACATCCAGTTTTCCATGTTTCCCTTCTCAAGAAGGCATTCTTTAATAATTACTTCAGGACACAACAGCCACCTCCTCCTGTTCGCATTGATGGGAAGCACAAGTATGAAGTGTCTAAGATCCTGCATTCTGGAAGGCAGGACTGTGGTATACAATATCTTGTTAACTGGAAGGGATATCTTGTGACTGATAGTTCTTGGGTTCCTGCCAAAGACTTGTATGCTCCTGCTCTCATTCGAGACTTTCATGCTGCTTTCCCCACTAAACCCCCTAGGCCCCCTGGAGAGATTAATTGGGGGGGGGGGGTTCTGTCATGTGTCTGGGTGGCTTTGGATCTGGATTTTTATGGTTCTGGTGCTGCAGCTCTATTAACTCTGCCACAGTAGGATCTGAGTCTCTGCACATGTACTCTGCTTAGTGCTTTGGCCCCTTGGACTCTTTAGCTCCACCT